TGCGTTGTATTTATCATTACTCATATCATTCCGCACCTGACAGATCCAGATGTGCGCTTGTCAGGTAATGCCCACCAGCTACAGATGCCCGTCCAAACACAGTGCATGTCTAAATCGGAACAATCCGTACCAGGTCTCTGTATTATACGTATTTGTCTTGCATGTCAATTGAACGCATTTCCCAAAGTCAATTTTTAAACTACTTCTTGTAAGAGTCATCTATTACTTCAAGAATTCATTTTTAAAATGAGACCGTTTAAATAAAGAAGCAAAATAGTTTAGCATAACTGGTTGATATTTGAAAAACTTTTTACTATTTTTTTATCTATGGCAGTTTTATTCCGTAATTAATTATTTACGTATTTCCTAGTTCTTGGTAAAGTAACAAAATAGTTTATTTGCTAGATATTAGTAGTAATTTACAAAAGGGATTAAATAGTTTTATCCAGGGGAGAAATGTGAAGTTAATCTCCCGAGTGAATAAAACTATGTATAAACTCGTGACGTAGACAATATTTATTTCTATTTCACTCCCTTTTCCAAAGAAAAGTTGCTCTAGTTCTACTATATTTCGTTAGGAAATGCAAGACAAATAATTTACTCAAAATATACCATTTCCTTATATACTTCACATTGATTTAACTCAGATCATTATCTTCTTTTGCTAACACTTCATGAAAATATAATTTATTGTGGATATGTGAAGTATCTGTGTCTGATGCATAAGTAGTGCGTCGACAATACAGGAATCGTATTTCGTAGATCAAGAGTTGTATCTTTCTCCATTTCCTAGGTCGCAGAGATGTCATAATATTTCATTGAATGTAATGTACTAGAATGTATTAAATATTAGATAAAATAAATTTCTTGAACGAAAAATTCGCACCACCACCATGAAAATCTTGCATGTCATCCTAATGAGTTCTACCTACATTTTCCACTCCCACGCCTGTCAAACTCACCGTCGCATTCAATGACGTGGACGAAAGAGATGGTAGTGACGGTGCAGTAGCTGAAGGAATGAAAGGAAAAGATTGATAGTATCAACATTAATATAATTCATATCTGAATAATTTTACCTTTTCATCTTTTTCTTTCTTATAAGTATAATTTATGTGTTATAAATAAATGTGTTTAACAATCGAAAAATAATTGCGGCCCTTTCTGATCATTCTCCTTGAGAACGTGGCTCCCAAAGTTCCAGTAGCTGGCCACCCCTGTTTTATAATCTTTCCATGACCGGCCCCTCTGGCTTGTGCCAGAACTGCCAGATGGCCACGCGGGCCCGGCTTCGTGCCGTGCTTCAATGGCTTTAAGCGACGACTTCCCTATCCGTTTAGTACCGCTGTCAATCACAACACAAGCCTTCGCTTGTCCATTGCAGGCGTGAGGAAATTCAGCCACAACAGAACGGACGGGCACTTTGGCGCCAGCAGTTTGGTGCTACGATTTTTTATTATGAATTTGAACAGTGAATATGGAAAAGACAGGGAAATATAAAACGTCGTAAAAATCTATTTTCAGTTCAAGATAAATTAAAAATTTTCATAAAGAGGATTACAGAACAAATTTAAATTGAAGTTTAAATATTTGCATTCCTGCCATAAGTACACATGTTGTCATTTTAGGTGTGCGCAGCCTTAAACATGACGTAGCCATTTGCATTTCATGGGTTTTTTATTAACGTTATACGTATTACCTCCATGGATTTTTAATTTACGTTATACGTCACGTATTATATGAAATGTAATATTAATAGTAAATCGCCAAAATTAAATTAGATTAATAAAAAATACTACAAGGATAAAAACAGTTTAACTTTAACGATACAATCAACAAATACTATTGAATTTTGTAAAACCATTATCGCGGTTGATAGTTGATAAATGGTTTGGAGAACCTCTTCCCCAAATTACGGTTAACAAGTTTCCAAACTGACCGGTTAAAACATAAAATTAGTGATTAAACATATTTAAGAAAACGGAATATTTTATTATTTAAGACCACGGCGACCCTTTTTAAATCAGTTTCAGGAGGGCCAAGGACCCTGTGACACTCCCCCTCGTGCGTACGCCTGGCTCTCTATGTCCGGACTTTTGATTCATTCCCTACATAGACTGATCGATTGGGAATTTGATAGTTTGGCACCTAATCGGCTGATTTTCTTACTCCCAGCTATCAACCTTTTTCGCACGTCACCTGAGTTTCGTTCCCTGACTGAGCGGATATGGAATGGGAGTAGGGCGGAAATGTCGAACGAATGCAATTTTGCCGGTCCATTTGTGAGTTCTTTTACAGCCAGAAGTACGTAATGACTGTGCACTGGCAGGTTTGAACGCCCGAACTCTGGCTTTGGAAGTCAGTGGTCTACTCAGAGCTTACTTTTAACTGAGATTGAATTGATTTGATGCCGTATTTTACTCGAGCCATCAGGCCCGCTCTTCCATCTTTGCAGTTCGTTTACTGAAACAAATAAATTGTCTATAACTCGGGAACGAAAATCTTAAGTTTTTCAAATCTCGTGCTTTTTAAAACTATTATTACCATCATGATTATTATTATTATTATTATTATTATTATTATTATTATTATTATTATTATTATTATTATTATTTATTTTGTTTGTTTTATTTTTTAAACTTTTTTCATCTTCCAACTATTTGTAATTAAAATGTTGAAAGGGATTCTGTAACTCAAAAAAACCTGCGAAGATGATCTTCTCTCCCATTCATCGCATAGTTTTTCCTGCTTTTTACAAAATAAATATTTCTTACTACTTGGTAATCCTTGTAGTTATTATTTTTCCTTTTGTTATCGTATACGGTACTTACTACCTTTATTTCGTATTCACATGGGTGAAAAAGATATTTACAAGTCCTCTACAGTTTGTAATGTATCTGAAGTTAACAGCTGATTTGGTCAAACATAACCTCGTGACAAAATCTCGATCGGCATAATTGGAACCAATCCTTTTCCGCACCCTTTGTCTTCGCACTAGTGGATAATATCCCAAATCTTCGCTGGAATCGTCTTCAAATACTATCATTCGTCATCGTCGAGCCAAAACAACACTTCGGAGGTACACGCACGTTGAAAACTGAGCTTACTCCGTACTTTACCCGACGGATTTTCGCCGTGTTAAGTTACTCTCGAATTTACTCTGGTGTAAGCGATTTACACTCGAGTAAAATGTTGGTGAAACACTCCAAGAAGTTACTCTCGAGTAAACATTAGCGAGTAGAGAGCACCCACACTTCCAAGCCCCCTCCCCCAAGACGATTCTTGAGCGAAAACGATTCCCATGATTACTTTCCATTCAGAAACTTAGCTCTCCTGCGCTGACATCTCGCCATGTTCCAACTGTAAGAGTGTAACGAAAAGAGTGTAAATACACTCAGTCGGGATTTGAATGCGTACCAGCAAGTTGAGCTAATGGATGCGCCTGCGCAGACCAGTACCTTCGAAAGTCACGAAATAGTTGAGCCGGGTGCAACAGGACGCGAGCAGGAGACAGCTACACTGAGCGATCTCAACTGCGAAGTCGGTGAGTAAATGTTTAATGCTAATAAACTACTTTGGCTAAACATAATTTTAATTTTACTTTTAGTAAATAATTTCTATACTATACGCGCACCTTTTTGAAACTTTACAACTTTGACAGAAAACAGCGTAATAGCGCAAGTTTTCTTTCTTTCTTTTTTTTTTCGAAGAAATAATAAATAATTGTGGAAATTGAGTAACAAGAAGGAACATAGTACACAGGCTAGTGACCACGGACAAACATTTTGCCGTCAATCGATTTCCGGTATCAAGAATCCACAAAACTTGTATTCTGACTAAACAATGTTTTAGAGGAAGTAATTTACTTTATAAAGGAACACAATGTATTCTTTTTTAGTGACAAGGGCTAGACAATAAGTGTGTTGGGTTTTTTTCGACGCACGTTACCGTACTTTCTCTTCTTCCGAAGTAAAGACGAGAAAGAAAAAATCACGAAATTTAATGAAGTAGAAAAATCACATTTCTTTCCAAACGAAAACTTTTAATTTTAAATATAAAGATTAACCCGGAAACGGTCTATACCGCTTCTAGTTCAGAAAATAATTTTAATTTAGGGAAAGGGAGAGACAACGAAAGGTTGCGCATTGCCTATATGTAGAGTATTGTGTTTTGCGTATCGCAGACAAGACCGATCATGTGCGGCTAGGTGCATTTCACCTACAATTTCCAATTAGGCCTACGTAAATGAGTAGAATGACGTCAGAAACTAAAACTGCCAACTTAATGATTTGACCCTCGAGCTGGCGAAAAGATCGTGAAAGTTATAGCACCTACTACGACACGTACTTCGTGGTAACGAGGCTAATATACAGGAAGTACTACATGTGTGTGCCTTAATACTTCGCTTGGCCATCGTGTAAAGATCTCTCATAAGAGTACCTAGTCGGTTGTTTCTTTTTCGAGAGAGAATTGTGTACAAAAACTATAAAACACATCACTGCGATTATATTGGGGTACAATGTCCGAGGGCCTGAGCCTCGTTCCCATGACAAAACGAGAGTCAGCCGTTGCGACTTCAGTCAAATGGGTCAGGGTCGTGTTAGCTATGCCCCGGGCCAACTGAAGCGAATGACCTTCTGGAATGAATGTATGACCATGCAGTCCCTAGTTTTTGTTTCGTCGTTCTGGGGAAAAGTTCGACAGCTATTGTAACTTTTCTCTGCAGCAAATCTTGTCAAGTGATTCCAATGACATATTGGGAGATTTGAATGTTATAAGAACCATTTTGTTGGTTCGGGATGCACGATCTCTTTCGTCTCAATACGCGAATATTTCAATTTTCAAAATATGTTAATCGACCTAAGAGTTAATTTTTGCACTCCCCTCTCTTAACTTCGCAATGTAGCCACTAACAAACGAATTATTAAACGTGTTGAGTCATATCATCTCTGTGTTAAAGATAATTGAAAATGATAACTTGGGAACATCAAAGAAAACATAGGTACAAAATATTTATTCATAAACTTTATTCATGTCAAGCAAATCTTTTTTTACCCACATTGCAATTTTGACCCAGCTGTTAATGTACAAGTCAGAAGTTCATATGCAATAATTATCTCAACCACTAGCAACAGTGGGAAGAGTTAACAACTCATCCACTTAGAAATAGGCCAAAAGACTACAAGCACAAAAATTATATTCAAAAAAGAAATGGAAAGCAGCATCAATTCCTTTACACATAGGATAATCTAGGATTTCCTTTAGAGGTGTTTCTATTCTAATTAATTTATGAAAACAATGTAGAGTAGGCCACATGTCTATCATGCACCACAGTAGGCATACTAAATATGCTATAGGAGTCTCTAAGATAAACATTTTTAACCAAGAGAATAGTTGACTCCAAAGACCACAGGCACAAAACTTGAGTATTTTGAGTAGTGTATCTGAATTGTCTAATTCATCAACTGAATTAAACATTTGTAAAGGGACCCAAATATTATGTTCTCAGAAGTACATTTAACTACAATAAAAGCATTTCATGCTCTAGATGAAGGGATTCTGTTGATCCGGTGAAGAAATGTGCCGAGCCAGGAGGGGAGAATGTTCTTTAAGTTGCCTGATGAATATCTCAAAAGATGGGTTAATAAAATTTAAATGTTGAAGAATACCTTCAAATCTATCGACTACCTTCTGAATCAGTTGAACATTTCACATTAAATATCATTTAAAAGAATCTCACATTAAATATCCTTCAAAACAATCTCACTAGGTAGAATTTTAATAATACAAATGTTCATGAACATATTATTCCACCCATAAACATCAACTACTTACTTCACATTACACACACTTAGGAACATAAATTATGGGTCGCAAGAAGTAAATTGCTACAAATACTCTTTGACACAAGAAGTTTAACAAGAACACTAATTTTCTCCTCTTTGACATCCTTCTTTCGCCAGACAGAGGGAGCAGAAGGCAAGCTGTACAGTCAAAATACAAACAGCTTCACACTTTCTTCCTTGGCGCTGGTAATTCTACCCAAATCTCACAGAAGTGTACTAACACCTTGCATAATAATGAATTGTTGGTTTAATAAAAGCAACTCATGACTTGCTCTGAGCTGATCACCAGACATAATGGTCACCATAACTTGAACCACCTCGACTGCGGTCTTGCTCCCCTCCCAGTCAGCTTGTCAGCTGATCAAGAAGCCAGAAAAGACAAACAGAGCCAAATGGCCAAACAAGTCTACTTATAAAACTTGACTTCTGTCTCCACTATATCTTTGAGCAGGTCATCCACTTCGGCAAGATTTTGTTCTGGTTTGAAATCTGCTAGAAAAGTTTCAACTTCAGCCACACAATTCAATTCCATCTCTTGCAAAAGAGCTATAACATTTGAATCTTCTTTAGATGTAGCAGCAGCATGCAGCTTGTAAAGATTATGAGCTCGATCCACTTTGGATTGGAATCGTGGTAAGACCTAGCAACATTATATAAATTAGTACAAACATGACTGATGTCACTAATTCACCAAATTAGATGAAAATTACAATTACTGTTCAAGTAAGATTGCAATTCAAAAATAGAAAATTAAATACTTCAAATCCTACAACTTATTTTAACACTGCAAAGCAATGCAACCAAGATTGAGAACTTAAAGGAACATTCTTTCATCCGCAGCAATGAGGTCAGGAACATATCAGGTCATTCAGAACATATCAGTCAGGAGGTCAGGTATATACACTTACTTTGGCTGGATCAGGGTCATATTTTGGGCTAACAGTATGCTGAGATATACGAGCATTTGGAGTAAAAATAAATGGCTTAAATACAGATTTCTTGGGGTTTGGAGTTGCTGTGAACCAATGGCAGTGTGGCTTTCCGCTTCCTGCTGGTGCAAGGACAGACACCTAAAAAAAATTACACTATTTGTCAAGCATTCTGACATTTTTATGGATTTATGGAATTAATTTAGCTTGCAACCCAGATAGACAATTCATAAAAAATGTTTCTTAAATATATTCTTTTTAACATTATTGTAAAAACTTACCAAAAACTAACTTGCATGCAATATATCTCACCTGACTGCCAGTTGTTGGAAAACCATCATCTGACTTACGACATATACCACTTTCTTCATTCCTCAGAACACTGAACATGCTGGAACCACTAAATGCATTTCCCTCAGATAATTCTTCCAAAAGTTTATTTCCAAATTGCTGGCGAAGTGTGGCAGATGAGTTTGGTTCTCCAAAAACTTTGGCAAAATTGAATTCTTCCTGAAATTAACTGACAAGCTGTACTACCAATATCAATCAAGAATCACTTTAGATGCAGATATTACTTACCTCCCCATCCCATAAACCACTTTTTTGCGCTTCTTCTTTCAGAGTGGAAGAACATTTGTCAAATTTTGAACCAATAGATAATACATTAGAAATATTGCGGCACCCATCTGAAAAAAGTCATTATTCTATTTCTTCAATTCTAAATGGAAAATAGAAGCAAATCCAGGAACACACTCAATTATGAAAGGTGAATTTTTGTACATAAAAATGACATTACCAATAAATATATTTTCATAAATTAATATTAATTGCTTTATTAATATTAATAATTGATCTGGTATTCACATAAGAAAAATAATTCCTAATTCCATGAATAAGTCTGATTAGCACCTTGAGGAGATCTGACCAATGGCTGACCCTGCTTTTAAGCAGCCATCCCAATATTTAATAAAAGAAAGAAGTATTTTTCATAATAAAGGAGTGAAGTTTGATTTACATTTTTTTTTCAAGCTACTAAACAGCTCAATCAATAAAATGCTACATAATCATTTGGGTGGAGATCGTACAAGACATTCATGTACTCAATGACAATTAAAGCATAAGCTAATGATAGCACTTTATAGGTTGCCAAAGGCACACTTATCTCTTGCAAACTAAGAGAATTGACATGTTAGAACATCTTCAATATAACTTTTTTATTCTCAAATGCCTTAGGTGAAATTATAAATATTGTTGAATTTTAATTATAATACCACATTCAAAAATAAATTATGCTTGAAATAATGTTATTTTTCTTTGTTATAGTGAAGCTCCAATTTAGTACGTGCCTCAAGAATATTGCAAGTCAGCTAATACTCAATCCTACATTCAATTTGTATATATTATAGGTTTAACAGGGTATTATTAAACACAATAAGAAGGATGGGAAAAGTAAACCAGGCCATACCTCTAGATTAGTTTCCAAAAAAAGCAATAAAGTAAATATTAAAAAAAGATACATCAAACCTGCAACTCGTTCTGCAACCCATAGTCTTCCAGCTGTTTCCAAAACCCAAGCTTCCTGAGGGTCAGCAATAAGAAATGAATTGTGGTATGTGAAATCTGGGACAGTATCTGAGCAGGGCCCCCCTTGCCCAAACTGCTCTAAGAGGCTACCGATCACATCAACTGCCTCTTCAGCACTCTTAGCTCTCTCTAAAGCCAAACTGCATATAATGAATGATCGAAAATAATTTTTTTTGTTTGATTACAGATATTTTATTTTAATTAGAGAAGGGCAAGATTTACATATAAGCTTACACAGCTGCAAATTAGAACAGACAATTCTGAACCTAAGAGGACAATCTATGCATCAAAGAATCGCTTTCCGCTTTTGCCAACTGCATAAGAAATTAAAATATGAGCTATATATATATTTTTTACTTCTTATAAATATTTATATAATTTCATATCAATCATCTACCAAATTTATTACACACTATAAACTATATTTTTCATGTTTTGTAAGAACGCAACCTTCAATAAAATAGAAATGTATTCATTTGTTTTAATAAAGGGGACAAATCTTGCAGCATAATGTCACTTTACACATAAATCTGACCACAGTACATAAAATATAAAATTTACCGCACAAGATCCATTCCTAATAAGCGTTCTTCATTGTCCTGAGCACTGCCCATCTGCGTCCAAACTGCTTCATTGCCTACCACTACACCTTGATCATTTGCTCCCATTTCAGCACCCCACATCCATGATGGCTTGCTTAAAATTACAGCATGGGTAGAAGGATGCTGGTCAATTTCAATATAGGTGCACTACAAAATACATAATAGATATGCAGCCCACAACTATAACTGGTAAGTCGATTACATGTTAACATTTTTAAATCATTCAGACGATAAGTTTCCTGTACCTGCAATTTGTCATTTTCTTCAAATGTTTTAGCAGGCTCATAAATAAGCTCCTGAACTTCGCCAGATGGTCGGTCAGAATTTTTACCAAAAATTACACCCCCATGAGATGTGAGGGGTGGTAGTACTACAAAGGTATCACAAGAGAGTGGCTTCATGTTGATGAACTGTCAAAAGCAAGTTATGTATGTCCTTAATACATGAATTTCATTTCATATTAATGTTAAGAGTGAAAAGAAAAAGAAAAAACATTTATGATAAATCAACGAAGGTGAAATCGCTTAATAAGAGTTAACAAAAATACAGGTGAAAAGATTGTTACGTGCTTTAACGTGCATGCATTATCTACTGGTACCTGAAACCCAAATGCATAATTTGACAACCCTATAAATAGTGACAGTCACACCTTCCCCCGGGCAAGCGTGTTGATCCCGCGGAACGCAGAGATCTACGAATGCCTATGCACTACTGGATTGATTTTCTCCTGCTGACTCAACTTACAGAGTTACCAATGGCCATAGGGGCAAACGGTTCAGCCCCAAAGATCTACTGGGTAAATGTTGCAAATACATGGGGCAAGTGTTTTAAAAGCAAACGAAATGGAAAGCACTTTTCTGATAGATATTTTCTAGGAAATAGTTTGAACCAAAAACTTATTCAATGACTTCTCTACGTTTCAAGAAAAAGCTTTTTCAACCGTCCTTCACTTTATTTCACCATGAAAATTACACATTCCTGCCTTACTTTCGGAATCGGTAGCAACATTCAATTACAGACTTCAACAATGCGCGACGTTTGTAGCAACAACGATGTGACAGAAAGCCTGAGTTGCCGGCTTTTTGTTATTGATTAGTGCAGCGGTGCTGCACTCTGGTACTCAATCCTCAACTCATTCACACTATCACGTGACTATAGGTCCCGTTTCGTTCTCTTCTGTGGCATTTCTGCTGAAGCGAAGCAGCGTTCTCGTTGTCGAGCGCAAATATTGACAGAAAAGAATGGCCCTATTTCGAATAACTGCTCTTCGCGTCACAGAAACTCACAAGGTAAGCACTTGCATTTTATTATCTCAGGAGTTAAAGTTTTGTTTCCATTTTAAAAACTATAATATCGGTTAAACTTAACTGCATGCTGAGAATCGATGATCCCAAAAATTGTGTGCTTGCATGCGAGATCGAATTGTAACTTCAAAAATAGAATATTGCAGCTTTTAACTAAGATAATTGCATATATGGTGATTGGCAGTGATTTGCAAGTATTATTTTCGGAGCTGATCGCATATCGTTTATATATATCTAAGAATAGCACAAACTGTTCTAACTCGAAAATGTATGTTCGATTGTTTGTTTAACTTTATTCTCTAGTTTTACTTATAAAATTAGTCATAATTTGTAGACCATGTCTCTACGCATAGTCAGCGTTATGTAAATAGGTATTACGTGGTTAGTTTCATAACACCTGTAAGCGGGTATTGACATCACATATAATGAAGTGGCCTTCAGAAGCACCTGGCTTCGAAGAATACTCGCGCAAAATACTCGCAACGTGTGCAGGGTTATTGCGAGCATGGTTATTAAAAATTTGTTCATGGTGAAGTGCAGTCTTAAAATACAGTTTGCCTCTTCTCTGCCCATGAAAATTCGAAGTATAGTTATATTTATTTTATTTTTTTACCGAAACAAATAAACCTTTTAGAAAATCAGATCCTCCGATCTACCGCCTTTGTAAAACCAGTTGGTTGATAAAATTCTGAGCCCCAACTCATGTCTTGAACTAAAGTCTTGATTGAACGCCGTTGTAAGGCGTCAAAAAAAACGAAATTACGCCAATGTTTATATAATTATTTTGAACTCGTTATTTGTATTTTTTTAATGAACCAACTCTTAAATCTTTGTGAAATTTTGAGTATAGAGTTCAAGACATGAATTTTATTTGCCCGCCGAAAAAGGATTGGTCATCGCGGAGATGACACTGCTGTAGTGTCGACATCCTTTGGTGGGATTATGAAGAATGTTTGAGGGGGGACATACCCGTTCTTGCAACATATAAGAAGGTGAAATTTTCCTTGTATTGTTTTGTAACTTACATTCGGAGAAATTGTGAATTCCAGTAAGAAAAGTAGGGCAAATAGTTTGAAATTATTCACGAGGGTAAACTTTACTTCGAAAACTGACATTGATCGAACCTTTCGCTGATTTTCTCTGTGGGGAGAAGTTATTACGATCTGAATTATGAGAATACGTTAATGAAGAAAAAAGGGTCAGTGCGTACAGGATTTCTTTGCTACTGGAATTTCAGTTGTGACCCTGAAAGAATCTGCACGTCAGGCCCAAAATATCCTCCTCCATATAGACACACCTCTTGAGCTCTTGCCAAGTGTGAGCATAACAACTTCATAATCAAAAGGGCGGGTTGCTTTATTGTAATTTCGTTCACACGCGTCGTTGATATTACGGGTAATTTTTTCATTGCAATACATTTTGACGTCCTTCCGTTGCTAAGTTGGATTATTTGCTTTTATGTTTTTAAGTGATGAATGTGAATTTTACTCACCATTTCCTCCAATTAATAGATCTAGCAGAGTGAACTAAGGATATAAACAATTTTCCCATTATTTTGATTTACCCATCTGTAGCATCTATTGAAGTCTAATACTTTGGTTAAAATTCATTTCACAAATTACTGCAATTTGATGTCCTTACTTTCATTCTGTATGTAGATCAAGACTTTCTGGTGTAACTGATAGATGAATTTCTTTTAATAGGTTTATTACTGAAGTTTCAAAATTTGATGTCATTAAATAGATTAATTTTGCAAATAACTTATCAAAGTTGTTTTTCACTTTCAAGATACCAATGTAATAATCTGAATACGATTATTTTGAGCTTTTGTAGATTCTAGTAAGATATTTATATGAATTAATTTTTTCATATTTGAACTTTGTCATATGATATAATTCTTGCAGTTAGTTTCTGCTTTTTTCACTCATTAAGTTCGGTTTGCAGTGTAAATTGAAAGCAATATTTGCACAGTTCAGCCTTTCCCTAATAGACGTTTTAGCATTCATGTCTTTTAGTTTAATAATGGAGTGTATATGATATAATTTGCATTTGTGCTTGTATCCCATATTCTGAGATCTGCTCTCTTACAATCAAATGGTGAACTTGTTGATTCAGGGGCCTATTCTTCAGATTTTATGTTAGGACTTGCATTGAAAATCATGTTTTATAAGAAAACATTTCTTTCAGGCACTTCCAGCTCTATCAGTTCTACTGCGTAATGCATCAGAAGCAACTGATCTTAAAGCAGTGCTGGCAAAGAAAATTCCTCAAGAGCAGGAACGTGTTAAATCTTTCAGGAAAGCCCATGGAGCCACCAAAGTTGGAGAAGTTACAGTTGACATGGTGAGTAATTAAAATGAAATTGTAGTCATGGTTTGCAATAAGATTTTTGTTTAGGTACCTATTATTGTTGTATTGTAAAATATTGTGGAACCTGCAATGTTGCCATCAATTGCTGGTTAAAGAATGTTCTGATTAGATGTGGATGGCCTTGGTTTAAATTATTGCAGGTTATCAAATAAGTGTATGTGTATAACTAACACATTGAAACTAAAAATACTGCAAAAACTTAATTTACAACTTTCTAGGGATTTCTGGAAGGAGTTCTCAAATAGGATTTCTTTTAACTGAAACTTAACTGTTTAACTGTTCTTTGAACTTTTCTGTTTTAACTGTTCTTTGAACTGGAAAGTTGTTTTAGGTAGTTCATACTTCGTTTCCCAATTTTGTGATAGAAAAAAGAAGCCAATGTAGGATAAAAGATACTTTCTCTCATCTATATCAATCCTCTGTTTTTTAACAATCTTTCTCCTCCTATCCCTCTTCTTCTCCAATTTTTATTCCTTTTCTCACTCTCCCCTCTTTTTTTCCCACCCATCCCCTTCCCTTTGTTTTGCTTCTCTGCGCTTTATGAAAAAGGGTCAGTTTATTGGAATATTCAGCTTTATTTATTACTTTTTGAATACGCTTTTTCTCTTAAAGTATAGGTCAAGGTCTTTCCTGATTACTGTGCGAGTGAGTCTGTGATATGCTTGGAGGTCAGTGACACTTGATAAATGTCACGCAGTCTTCTCTAGTCATGTGGTCAATAGACCTGACTTGAGCATGGTAGTATCACATGTATATATTTTGTTATTTCCAGTTTCTAATTTCATAAAGAGGAGTAATATTTTGCAATAGGAACTCTTTGATTTTCATTTGCATGTACAGATTAAAATTATGATTGAAAATTGAAAATGTTTTGTTTCATGGATGCACAAACTTCAATGATTACCAATGTTTCTCTAAATTTTCAGATGTATGGTGGCATGAGAGGTATTAAAGGCCTTGTTTGTGAAACTTCTGTTTTGGATGCTGATGAGGGAATTAGGTTCAGAGGATATTCCATTCCGGAATGTCAAAAACTTCTTCCCAAAGCAAAGGGAGGTTCTGAACCTCTTCCTGAGGGTCTGTTCTGGCTTCTGATCACTGGTGATATTCCTACCCAAGAACAAGTAAGTGGGTTGCTTGTTGTGGGCAGTTTGAAAATATAGGATCTTGTTAAAAATATTTCATCACAGGAATGCTAGTCAATACTGGGTGAGAATGAATCCCTGTCAGTGATTCCAGTCATAGTGTACTTTATGTGCTTCTACAAAAATTTGTCCATTCATTGAAATTTTAACAAATTGCTAATAAAGGTACACAACTAAGTTGTTATATTTTGTGTTTTGCAGTCTAATGCTATTTCAGTTGAATGGGCTAGCAGAGCTGGTTTGCCATCTCATGTAGTGACGATGCTTAACAACTTCCCTCCTTCTCTGCATCCTATGTCACAATTTAGTGCAGCAGTCACAGCTTTAAATTCTGAAAGCAAATTTGCTAAAGCTTATTCAGATGGTGTTCACAAGACAAAGTATTGGGAGGTAAGTTGTTCGCAATGGAATTGACTATTATTGAAATATATTTCCATATTCTAAGTTAAATTTTAGAATTGTGCAGACCCACAAGTGTTGTAGAATGTGTGCATTTGACAGGATGGAAAGAAATTTGAGAAATGAAATGAAAGAAAATGTAATTGGTTAGTTTTGTTAAATTATTCCTTTTTGTTGAGACTGCGCATATAATTTTTAAATTTTATAGTCTTGAGAATTAATATTCAATTGTGCTAAGTCTTTTTTTTGTCTGTACACCCAACATATGTTTCCAGTATGTTTATGAAGATTCAATGGATCTCATAGCAAAATTGCCTGTTATTGCTGCTACCATTTATCGAAATACTTACAAGAGTGGGAAGGGTATTGGTGCTATTGATCCTCACAAGGATTGGAGTGCAAATTTCTGCCAGATGTTGGGCTATGACAATGCTGAATTCACAGAGCTCATGAGATTGTATCTCACTATTCACAGGTAAAATTGATTGTTGTATTTTTATAAGCAAAATATTATTGTATGATATTTACTTCTTGCATATTGTGCTTATCTCTCGAAGTAAGATCTGTGGGAAAATGCCCTTTTCACCCAGGATATGTATTATAGTACAATGAAATGGAAATACTTTTCATCTTAACAGAAGCGTCATGTCAATTTAAGAAAATTTAAATTAATTGCTACCTTTTTATTACATTTTGTCTGTGAAAGTAATTAGCATCAACATGTTTGTTGAGTTGTCTTCTGTCCCAGTATACAGTAGCTTACTCTTGTCTTCAATTTTTGGTTGCAAAATTTTGCATGTGATGCTCTGCAAGTGAGTATGTGAAAGATGCTATGCCATTTTTTGTTTTCAAGAATGAATTACAATACGTAACACATGCAGGTGCTTTTGTGAGTATTTTTGGTCCCACATATCATACCATTTTCATTCCTTTCAATTTTATATTTATGAAATATGCCTTATGTTGGGGAAATTGTTGAATGAATATTTGTTTAAGCACAAAATTTTAGCTTTAAAATTATAAATCTTATGAAGAACCTTATTAAAATACAGAAATGTTAAAAATCTGCAACTTTATTTACAAAAAAAAGTTACACAATGGAATAACAAAAACCCTGAAGTGCATTATATTCACTATCTGATTTCTTCATAATCTTAGTTTGTGTGGTATGCTTTGAAACAATTTGGCATCCTCTGATACCTGCCAAGCGCCAGTAACAATGTGCTGCATACCTTGTGCTACTTTTCAGTTTTTATTTCCTAACAATTAAATTTCTTCGTATTATTGTATCTAATACCCCCAATATAAGATTGCACATCCTATGTGGTCATGTGAAGAGGCATGTGAAATAATGCCTTAACAAGGCACAAACACAAAGAAAAATGCACTGCTAGTGCTGTGCCGTTCAGAATCTTCAGAGTAAATTAGATTCCTGGAACCACAATTAATGGTTTTAAAAATTTGTGCAATACATCCTTCCATTAATTTTTTTAAACTGTATAACATATTTATAATTTGAAAGTGAAAATGTGGGAAAAAGCATCAATTAGTGTTTTCTGTGCATGGTTTATTCGATTAAGTGTGAATTCAGTATTGCTTTGTTAAATCGTAGATGTGTATTATTTAAAAACAAGATCAATGATATTTTAAGTGTTAATAATTATACCTGAGAGCTAAGTTCATAATTCATTCTTCAAATTCTTTCAGTTATAATCAATCTAGTTTCATTGAAATTGCAATGAACCTAGAAACTGGTTTGTTTGTTCTTTTTATACTACTTACGGTGTGCAAAATTTTATACCCATTTTTATATGTATAGGGTATTATATTTTCCGTAACATGCTGGGAATTTGAAATTTTTCAACACAGGAAATTTAAAAAAATTGTGTTTTTCAGTGACCATGAAGGAGGTAATGTGAGTGCCCACACTGTGCATCTTGTTGGTTCTGCACTGTCAGATCCTTACTTGTCCTTTGCTGCTGGCATGAATGGATTGGCTGGTCCTTTGCATGGTCTTGCAAACCAGGAGGTATGTTCTCTTAGTGTTCTGATTTGTATTTTGACTATTTACTTTTTGGTTCTATGCTAATATTTTGTGGTACTGTTCATGGTTGGCACCTCATATTGCACAAGTAAAAATCTTCAGACTCCAAGGATATGCACTGTAATTTCATGATATGTCATTGATATTCTGATTTAATTTTATATTTTTACCGTTTGTAGGTATTGATCTTCTTAAGAAAAATCCAGGCAGCTTTAGGTGACAATCCCACTGATGATAAGTTGAAGGAATTTATTTGGTCAACTTTGAAAAGCGGGCAGGTTGTGCCTGGTTATGGCCATGCTGTTTTGCGCAAGACTGATCCTCGTTATACTTGTCAGAGAGAATTTGCCCAGAAGCATTTGCCCAAAGACCCCATGTTCAAGGTAAAACCTAATAAATCATGTAGTTTTTTGTAATTTTATTCACCTGTCAAAGAACACTTAAACTTGCCTATTGCTAGGAAGTCGAATACATTTTACATACATTAAGTCTTTATTGTACAAAACAAGATGTGAAATGTTTAAATATTGTATGCATAACCATAACTTTATTTTTTATTTTAAGTTTATTAAAGTATATTATGAATGACACCTTCACCAGTTCATTCCAAAAGATTGATAAGCACTTGCTCAACTTCATGCTTTCAGCTGGTTTCTCAAGTATACAAAATTGTGCCACCCATCCTGATGGAAACTGGCAAAGTCAAGAACCCATGGCCCAATGTGGATGCCCACTCTGGTGTCCTCCTTCAGGTAATTCTTTCCTTCAGTTTTCTCATCTGTGCTTTTTTTGTAGATGGAAAAGTTTGATAATAAGAAGTCTATTTACATTGTTCTGCTGTTAACATTCATTTTGATTTTCTTTTGCAGTATTATGGCATGACTGAAATGAACTATTACACTGTGTTGTTTGGAGTGTCACGAGCCCTTGGAGTGTTGGCATCTTTGGTTTGGGATCGTGCACTAGGTCTGCCTATTGAACGTCCCAAGTCAATGTCCACTGACGGTCTGATGAAAGCTTTAAAAGCATAATACACGATACAATAAAATTGTGTGATTGGGATCAGGAATATTTAGTAATGCTGTTTTAATAACTGCTTGTTTTATTTAGCCAAGGTCTTTCAAATTATTTTTTTAAGAGATTTGTAATGTGAATACTTCATTCAAATGCTGCAATCATACAGTATTTTCAAAGTTTGATATTGCTGAGTTGCTAGACTCAGATTGATTTTAATTTGTTGTGATCTTTCTGGGGACTATCTTCAGTTGTTTTGAATGAGATTATTCTTCTTGGAAAGCTTTATTATCTAACTGAACTAAATTTTGTCATACATCACTTTGTCAGTGTATGCATTGCACATTTGTTGAAACCTTATTAGCAGTGTTTGTCCTTTCATACATTTCAATAAAAAGTGTTTGTAAACTTTTATACTAGTGAACAGTAATGCTCTATTATATGCAGATAAATTTCACAAAGTTCATTGCCATTGTACAGACTTGGTGAACCGAGATTTTGACGATGGTGGAATGAGTTGCATTGTTTCAGATTTCAAAAGTTGCTGATTGCTAGTATAAGAGCATTCAGAATTTTTTGTACAGTAGTGCAGCAGTTATTCTTTGTTCGAGATCTGTATTGCGATGTTTGTGTGCAAATACAAGACACTGCAGGAAAACTGAACTGATGGACCTTGGCTTGAGGACAAACAAGTTTTTGAATGCAGTGCTACATGAAGTACTATAGTGCAAAATACTTTCAGCATTGAAGCAAGTCATGTGCATTATAAGCACTTGGTGTGACTGTGATAAGAGTGCTTGGTTATTTATAACAGTCTGTTATTGCAACTATCAAATGACCATTTCATGTAGATATTTCATTAAAACACATTCTTAAAGTTGTCAACTGAAGGTGTAGTAATATTGTACTTTCCCTTCTGTTGGTCTGTTCTGCAGTCGTGAAGTTTTGTTTATTTATTTGGGGCGTTTTGTTGGATAATTGCAATAATGGAAATTGAAATGTGAGGAACTCTTGCAACTGGGGATAAGTATTTCAAAATGTTACCATCCTTTTGTCTGAACATAATTCTTTGTTGGTTCGTAATAGAAATTGGATGAAAGGCTTGTCAGGAAGTAACTGCTGTGCGGTTGATCTTGCTTGCCTTAACTGACGTGTAGACAATATTAGCATAAGAGAGTGTATTTATGTGCAGTACAAATGTGTACAAAACTCAGGCTGAAGAGTTCTCTGTTCTTTGCAGGTCCTCTTTGTTTTATTTCACCTCTGAAAAGCAATACTTTTGATGATGATTCAGGGGGCTAGAACTCCTGTGTGCTTCTTATTTATTTATAATTTGATTGAATAACTTTACAAGATGCATTGTGTGTTGTAAAATTGTCAATATTATCACCTAAATTATTTATGTGTGTAAATATTGTTATGTAACTTTGTTAATGATGTAATGTACATTTCTCACGATAACTGCAGCAGTTCAAACAAGGCAGTTCTATTTGAAAAATACTGGTTGTACAATAGTATTGGAACAGTATATTAAAAGTACTGTGTAAGCGTAAGATCTAATTCTAAACAAGAATTGCAGACAAGTGTGTAGAAATTTTAAATGATTCCATTGCCTCATAGACAAAATTGAGTGATTCGTTTAGGAGAAAATGTGACATTGTTATTTATAATGTGATGTGTTATTTATAGGATGCTGGTAGTGAAGACTTTTATTTTGAATACAGATAAAAGAACTAAATTATGATAATGGTGGAAACTCTCTTGGAAAAGTAATGTGCTTTTATTGGAAAGCATAGATAACAAATCAAAATTATGCACAACCATTCATTTAGGATCATCCTGTATGTACGGTTTACAAGGCTTGTAGTTCGTCTGATCTCGGTGACGTGTAGAGAGTTCATCTGCAGGATAAAGATAGTTCAATAAATACTGGAAATGACTTAAAGTTGAATTTCTTAAACCTTTTCCTTTGTACAATTAGTAGTTATAAAATGTTCTGAAATGTCAAATAAATGAAACAGGATAGGATGTATATGGCATGATCAAAAAGTCAGTGATGACACTTAAATAAGGTCCAGATTTCTCGTAGTAAAACTGACTCTTGAATTATAGTGTCCCAATCTTTAGTATGGGCTAGTTTTTTTAGTTGCACTTCACCCTCTTACCATTTTCTAAATTTTTTTGATCCTCTTGATAGAATCAAAATGACGAGAATTTTATAGAAGTGAGGCCTGATAGACGCAAACTTTTATTGAAAAATTTTGAAGCGGAAAATATGTAGGTTTTCTAAAGATTATGTATAACAATTTCAGGGAAAAAATGCATCAAAACGGCATATATTACTCAGAGCAGAAAGGTCTCCATGCAGAATTTGCTCATATCTTAAAATTTTATGTGAAAACTAATATTCTCAAAAAATGTATATGACTTTAATTCAAAAACTAATTGCAGAGAACAAATTTCATTTCAAGAAAAAAATTTCATAGTTTCAATAACATTTTTGTCTAAAATGGTCCATAAAAATTAAAAATTTCGATTTTATATATATTTCATTCTATTGTTGCAAGCAATATAAAGGGAAAAAATGGAACCATTTTTACTTTCTCTTACTGGTGGTTATGTAATCGTGCGCTGGAAAACGGCGATTTTTCGATACAAAAATTCTTTTGGTGGACTCTGGTTACGAAAATGTGGATTAATCTAGTTGCTAAATGTGGGGAGAATTCCTCATAACACGTGGTGTAGCCGGAATCCATTTTTTGCGCGTCGATGGCGCAAAAACCGTTCAGCCGATTTTCACCAAAATTGATATTCCCCAATCGTTCTGGCTAATATCGCGCCCGCTGTAATTTTAATTTTTGGGGACACTTTACATGAATCTCCAAAGACATTTTCAAAATTTTCACGAAAATGGATTCATAATGTTTTATTAAATTTTGTTGTTGAATAGTGCGGAGGGTGTTTAAGACAATGGTTCCAAATTTATAAGCAGAAAATCAAATTTTATCGCGAAAAAATAAGCAAAACGTTGAATTTATTTGTTATATTTTATAAACAATTTTTATATTAGCCGGTTCATCTTTTCACATGAACATGACCATATTTTCAAATACAATCGTAGATGTCAAATTATAAGTTTGTTTTAAAGTACAGTGTTCATAACATTGAAAATTATATATTAGGCTAATTTTGTGTTCATTAATAATAAAAGTATAATAAACCAATGTAGATTTTAGTTTAAAATAGCATTAGAATAATAGTATTACTACACGGCACACGTATCCTCAATGTGGAAATTAAGCCTTTTTTAACGTAAGTTAAAAATAAAAATTTCGAGTTTAATCCAAGGGTTGAGATGTTTACTGAAGTTCGATATCACAATGGTAGAGCATGTGTGCAATTTTGAGATTTTATCTGGTCCCTCCAACAGTCATTACATTTGTAAATTTGGAAAAAATCCAAAATTCCAATTTTTAAGAGTATGTAATTTTCAAGTGACACGTTATTTACCTATGATATTTTACAAAAAGTAACTATGCTGTTTTGTGTAAAAGCACAGGAAAAATTATGGCTGTGATTCTATTCCTTGTTTGAGAAATTACTCTCTGAAAATCGAATTTTGTTTATTCGCGTTCCATAGATTTGGTTGCAAATATTTCCCAAAAAACATAGAAAGTAGGTAAATAGTATTTCGATTTGTAGGTCAGAGCATACTGAAGCCAATGCTTTTTATTCTAGAATGCTAGAAGCATTCAGAGCTAAGTCATTTAGAAAAGAGAATGCAAAAATGGCGCAGGCGTAAAACAATGGCCGCCACATGTAAGCTAGGTAAATAAAAAAAATAAGATGTTTTTGAACTGCCAAAACAAGGAAATTTATGTACATTCTTTTTTTTTTTCGAAATGGTCAAGCACCAATTTATTTAATTCTGGACCACTTAAAATGGACTGGCCCCGACTATCGGGGATCCCAAAATGTGTATTTCCATTGAAATCTCGAAATCGACTTTCTACAGCATTTCACAACTTTATACACGTACGTGTACGGAAAAGTGTTAAATTCTTTGTATAATCCATTTTGTCGGTATCGATCACAATAGTTTTCTCTTATGCATGTTTTACACGATCAATTTTTCATAATTTTTCGCTACTACAGAAAAAAGACACCAGACTGGATGTAATTTGTACGAAAAAATGACGCATGCTTCATTTTTCGGTACAGGTTTCATCTATTTTGACTACCCACGACGTCTGTTCTCGGCATATTAATATCGTAAGTTCCGAAAGGAGCACAGGCCCAGCAGGCGTGCCTGATGACCGTACGGCAAGGTTGGCCAATTGGTGGCCATTGATATAATCATCCTTTCTCAGTACTCGCCGCCAACCCACGTCGAAGTAAGCCAACTGGTCAGCAGTGCTAAGCTCCCCATCGGAAGACATATGGGAAGGTTACGAGCGCCTCTTGACAGAGAATCCGACTGTGTCAACACGGACCGTGTAGTCCAGAAGGAAATTGGAGTTGGGAAGACTCGCCAGTCCATAAGAGCGTGCGTCGAACCCACATCGTCGGGTTGACGGTATCAACACGAAGACAGCCGAGCGAGCGCAAGAGAGTTCCGGCACCTCCGGGTGTTGAAAGGCCTCCCGCTCACGGATTCCCGAAGTAACCGTGTTGTTAGGCCTCTCGAGCACATGGCTAGCCGAGGCGGTTCGTCGCCCGATAACAACTCAAGGGACGGGGCTGGTCCCAAGGTGCTAAATGAATTGAAACAACCGACCCCAATATGCCGGTGTATCCTCATCAGCAGAGCTTGCTCGGTTGGAGACCATCTCGGCGGTCTTTGGAATGAAGCTGCGTAGGGGATCTAGAGCTAAGCGGACCTGACGCGACCACACACTCCGAGCCTCCGGCAGTTCCTGGCCGTAAGCAGCAGAGCACTGGGTATGGTGACAAATGTAAATGGCGAAACGACCACTTCACATTGCATAAGGCCCATACATAACCGCATTGGGCTTTCGGTATTGGCCCGGTACATTAGACGCGTAGGGGGAGATTGAGGTCATGCGGAATACAGTCGAGGATACAGACGTCGTCTGCCCTGACAATTAGCATAGAATATTAGTATAAGGTCTATTATATAGGAAAATCGAATGCTGGAAGTAGTGGCAACTACCGCTGGAGACAAATACTGGACAAACAGATACGACATCGGAGCAGACTACTGCTTAAGCGGGCTAGTCACGCGGGTAACCGCAAATGGGACATTCAACTGAAGACAAAACCCGTGATATTTAGCTACTGGCCAAGGCGGGACAATGGAACCCTCGTTTCAAACACAACCGCTAGTGGAGAAACCCAGAATAACTGACCAGCTCTGTTTCGGTGCGACCCACAGCGAACCTTCTGGCATATTCAGTAGGCGAAATGCTCCCAATGGAGGATGGGGTCGGAGTTGAGAAGCCTTGAAAGCCCCTCTCTACTTAAGCTCAACCGTTTCGTAGAACTATCATCCTGTTTGGCTAAAGAAGGCTCCTGTTCTGGGTGAAACGACGTCAGTGCCATGTGCACAGCGAGGAGACGGAATTGGAGTTTCGAGCCCCTCGGTCTTTAGTCCGGGCGGCCCTCAGTTAAGCTGACGGCTTCGTTGTGGCACCACCCAAAACTCATGTGTAATTGAGTAGGGATTTATTCCAGCGAATTGTGATTGGCGCTTAATTCGATTCCGGTGCTAGTCTGGATAACTAGGAAGGTTGCCTTTTATGTTTCGGGATTTGGCAACCCTGGTGTTGCAATCTGGCGACTGACAGCTCTATCGTAAAGTTGGATGTTTTGAGGTTATAGGAGCGCTATTTGTGTTGTTTACAGTAACTTAAAAGATTCATCTTGTCCCAAAAATGGAATTAAATAGTGAACATTTTCGTGCAATTATTTTTTACAACTTTCGACGTGGATTAACTCAGCAACAGTGCATGGATGAATTTAGTTCAATTTTTGGCGAAGAAGCTCCATCAAGGACCAGTGTTTATCGATGGTGTGGTGAATTCAATCGTGGTCGTAGTTTACTCCAAGACGAATTTTGCGAAGATCGTCCAAAATCAGTTGTTCCGAAAACCATTGATGCTGTGCGTGAACTGACATTGCAAGATCGTCATGTGACCACTCGTGAGATTGAGACAATCTGAGGCATTAGTGAGGCCAGCATACATTCAATATTGCATGAACATTTGTCTGTCAAAAAAATTTGTCCGCGTTGGATCCCATACAATTTGTCAATTGCTCAAAAAAGGCTCGTGTCAATTGGTCGAAAGAAATACTCAAAAATGCGATCGCGGTGCATTGAAACACGACTATGACATCGTGACAGGTGATGAATCGTGGATTTACGCGTATGAGCCCAAAAGTAAACAGCAGTCGATTGTATGGGTGTGAAACGCCCATATATATGAGCAAATTCCAACAAAAGTTGTTCGCGCACGAAGCACTTCCAAACAGATGGTCGCCTGTTTTTTCGAAAAAAAACTGGACATGTCGCAACCGTACCACTAGAACCAATTCTGAGTGGTACACAACGATTTGTTTGCCAGCTGACTTCCAAGAAATCAGGAAAACCAACCGCCGAAGACGGATCACTCTTCACCACGACAATGCGAGCTCTCACACATCGGCTCAAACAACTGCATTTTTGAGCACCCAAAACATCAATTTGATGAGTCATCCGCCGTATAGCCCTGACTTGGCACAAAATGACTTTTTATTCCCGTACGTAAAAAAACAATCTGAGAGGTCAACGTTTTTCGACACCTGAAGGAGCGGTTGCTGCAGTCAGAATGCATGTTTCGGAGATACCTCAATAAGAGTGGCAAAAGTGCTTCGACAATTGGTTTAAACGCATGCAAAAGTTTATAGATCTTCATGGGGAATAATTTGAAAAACAATAAAGTGATTTTCGATAATTAATATTTGTTATTGTTCTATAATCCTGAAATATAAAAGGCAACCCTCGTAGTAGTTCTAAGACAACAGAAAGGCCCTCTCCAGGTTCAATTAGGGAGGCAGTCCTAAGGGGTGTTGCATGCCGGCGTACCCAGCTCCCAGCCTTTCGGGGCACAAGTGCTCCTAAAGGAGTGAGAATTGTAGCCTGAAGGCCCAGTTTTTCCTCTGAAGTTATCTTCCTCGAACCTTAAGACATTGCAGCAATATCGATGTATATGAAATCATTTGAAACCAAAGAGCGTCCACTGCTCCCTTCCGGTGCTGGTTCTCACCGAGTATACGTGCTGCTTGCCCTGCTGTGTTACTGGGGCTTACTGCATTGTTGTGTTGCTCGGTGGTTCCTCGCCAAGTATATCGTGCTCTTGGCCCGGCTGTGTTACGGGCTTAATGACATTTGGTTGCTCGGCTGGTCCCGCCGAGTATTACCGTGTGCTTGGCCTGCTGTGTTATGGGCTTACTGTCATTGTGTTTGCTCGGTGTCTCGCCAAGCTTACCACCCCCCTGCGCTTGCCCTGCTGTGTGACTGGGCACTGCAATTTGTAGTTGCTCGGCTGGTTCCTCGCAGATTACCGTTGCTCTTGGCCTGCTGTGTTCTGGGCTTACCTGGCTTTGGTGTTTGCTGGCTGGCTCCTCGCGCGATGTTACCGCTGCTCTTGGACCCTGCTGTTGTTCTGGGCTTAACTGCATTTGTAGTTTGCGGCTGGTTCCCTGCAAGGTAACCTGCTCTTGGCCCTGCTGTGATTACTGGGCTTACTGCATTTCGTGTTTGCTCAGGCTGGTTCTCGCCGAGATGGTACGTTGCATCTTGCCTGCTGCGTTATGGCTTCTGCATTGGGTTCTGCTCGCTGGCTTCTCGCCAGGACCGTGCTCTTGGCCCTGCTGGTTATCTGCGGCTTACTGCCATTTGTCGTTTGCTCGGCATGGTTCCTCGCGAGTATACGTCTCTTGGCCCTGCTGTTTACTGGTTTACTGCATTTGTGTTTGCTCGGCCTCTGCTGTGTTACTTGGGAGTGCGGCTTTGCGCAGGGAGCGCTAGGGACACTGCCCCCATTACTGAGATCAATAATTTCTTCTCTGCCGCTGTCTAAAATAATCTCTGTGGGTCTGTAGGGTTGTTTTCGAATCGAACGCATCTCTAGCTTTCAAACTCTCGCTTGTTCCGTAGAACGATTTTCATTGGCTACGGACACTCGCTTCTGTGTCCTAAACGCAGTGTTGTTTTGGAACGTACTGACATAAAAATGGTCGACAACAAGTGCTCAAATGGCAACGTAGGATCGGCAAATGGCGTCTTGTGACGGCCGCCGCCCAGCAGCCTGACAGGGGAGGTAGCAACCTCCTTGCCCGGCGCTATCTATTGATCAATTTTTAAACTTCCAATATTATTTTCGCTTGATTTACGTCTGGGCCAGTGCTATTTGCTGGTATTCTGTTTAACTGATCTCCCTTTTCGCAAGCATTCAGTGCAGGCAGTAATGTGCAATCGGCATGGTCGGCATCATCTTTCCGATCCGTAGACAAACTATGTGAATGCTGTGTTCCGATCTTTGCGTCCAGTTCGTAATGTGTATTGAGATTGAGAATGGTTTGCAATTCTGTAAAATGCCTGAAAACAGTCAATGTAGTTCTGATACAAGGCTGTGCATGAAGAGAATTGGACCACCTCGGCCTAATATAAAAAAAATTACAGTCTGATAGAAATGGCAATCGTTCTTTTGAACGGAAATTTCAAAGGGGTAAATGACCATATTAATTTTTGGGGGAATTTATCCATGTGTTCTCTCTTTGATTGTAAAACGTTCCAACAATATCAAGAAAAATTCCCCCTACAAAGGGTTGATCGCGTTTCACAGTTCTCTCCGTTCGTGAGCTAGCAAACTGAAATCTGAGCTGGATGTGCTATATAAAAGAATCCGAGAGAGATTTTTCCACTTTGAAAGGATTATAGATATTTTTAAGAAATACCATGTCGGAAGAGAGATTGAGTGGACTTTGTATGTTTTCGTTATAAAGAGTTTTGTTACGAGACTCATTTAATTTTAAATAATTAGTAATAGATTTACAGAATGTAAAAACAGAAGACTCAATTTAATTTATAGATCATGTGTTTAGCCTGTCTTCCGGGGAGAAAATTCGATTGTAAATTTTACTTATGTGACTTAAACAATCCAAATATAACAATATTTCAAATGCCTTACTTTATTTGATCCTGTAACTTTGTGTGCCCTCCCTGATGCCTAATCCCAGAGCCGCCACTGTTACTGGGTTTATTGCTCATTGTGTTTGTGAACTCTTAAGTTTTCGTCTACGGTTACGTCAAAGCATTGTGATGGTCGCGCTTAATAACTCATTTTTAGGTTTTGCGGCTGCATTATGTTTGTGTTTAAGTTTGCATTGTGATTGAAGCCTAACAAAAGGCTCCGTGATAAACGACGCCTCATCTCTCAATTGTTTTTTACCACGAGTTCTAATAAGAATTTATATTTTTATTTCATAACACACCGACCTCCTAGTACGGTGAAATGAGGATGGTGATCACTTCTTTCACGAATCATCGCAATCGATGAATTTTCGGGCAGGGAATGTTCGGAATCGAAAATCAAACGATAGATCGAGGAATGGAGACAGTCCGGGACACCAGGAAAGTAGACGTTCTATCAGAAAACCTTCCCCCCGTGAAATTGATGATTGTCGTTTGTGATGTCACAAGCATCATTGTGTGCAACATCATTTGGCGAGGCAGAACAATGACAGGACATTACTAAAGGATCTTAGCGTTTAGGGAGAAACGACCTGATCTTTTAAGGAGAGTATCATTGCTGAGAGCTGAAAATGAGCTGAGTTTACTGGAAGTAGCAGGCAAGTTATGAAGACGACACTAAATAGCAAAAAGCTGATCTATGCAATCAACGTGTATGCTGTTTCTGTATGTGCATACTCATTTGATATTATCAAATGGAGAAAATGGACGTCGAAGGCCTCGGAAGACAATTGCCCTTTTATGCAAGTACGCAATCTAAATCCAAAATCACCGGTCTAAAGGTTAATATTGCCGCGATATTTGGGTGGTTAAGGAATCGTGAACATAGAGAAGTAAATGTACCAACATATAAAATGTCACGAGAATATTTTCACAAGGAAACAAAAACAACATTACTTCGAGTCATCGGCCAAGTAGATGCATGGATTATGCATCAAGAATCTGCGCATCTACACCTGTTAATAGACTACTATAATTTTCAAAAACCAAACGGATCGACATAACAAACCTGATTTTGTTGTGGGAGACAAGAGGAATAGGCAAGACAGCTTGATCGACATAGCAATGACAAAGACGAAAAAAATTCAAGAAATTTAAGTCAAGGAGATTGGAAAGTATTTTCGATTATCTGAAAGCATAAGTAGACAATGGCATGTAGACTATGAGTGAATCGTCCCCGTTATCATCTCTAACATCGTAGTAATCTCATAGGCCCTGTTTCCAAGTTTGAAGGATTTGATCGTCAATATGAATTTTGGCAAGCTATGCAGAAATCTGTAGTGATCGTGACAACAGTATTTCGAAATGGGGATCCAGTAGCTATTAATTCCTTACTAGTTAGATTTCGATATATGCTTTGGGCAAGTATGACCTGTGTATTATTATTATTATTATTATTATTATTATTATTATTATTATTATTATTATTATTATTATTATATTTACTCCATAACAATGTAACAGAAATAAAAGTATCTGTGATTGTAGCAATAGTGGTAATAAGAATATAATGTGAATCGAAATTGATTAAGAAATGCAGTTTTAGAGAGCAACCGAGAGTGAATTTACGTCACATCTTTACAGTAATTTGTGATTACTTCATCGCAAAAACAAAATCTTCGCGCTAATCCTTTTCACTGACATTCGAATGTCTTTTGTTCAAAAAGTGGCAGGTGAATGAAGAGCGCTCTGGAGGTAATACATTAAAATAAAGCAAATGCTCTCGCGCCATCTATTCTATCGTATTTAACGAATAGGGATGTGACACTTTCATAATGAAAGTTGGACAGCTAACCTAGCCGGGCGCGACTGAAACGAAGTTGAAAGTGAGGGCAAAATTAAGTTCGCGCTCTTCTGCCCATGTATTTTTGGTAATCGTTCTGAAAACAAAGTGGTTTGTGGATCATTTTACGTGTACGTATGTGTAATCTACTTTGTGTGTGAGCGTTGTGACTTGCTAGTGACACTAAGCTTCAGCGTCAAATTCAAACGTGTGGATGTTTGTGTTAAAGTATCAAACATGAATAACTCGAGTATTCCTGACCCTGTTCATGTTTCATTTCCATGGACTGAATCCAATAGAAGTGTGACTCTCTCTTCAAACAGAATCTCTGTGCAAGAAAACCTATCTGCCAATAAAACTAGTGAAATGACTGGAGCAGCAAGTGTAACATGCGTAGAGAGAAAGCAGCGTTCTGCCTCTCCAATTTTGCGAATTGAAAACTCCTCAAATGAGCGTCTCGAAAAAGATGTATATCATTGCGAAAAGGAAAAATTACTAACTCATAATCCAGACTGTGCTGGAGATCATGAAGGATCCCGAAGAAATCAAATTCTCCACCGTTCCCCTGAATACCGACGGTATCAGGAAGTGCGTGGGAGAAAACTGGCTAATGTACACGAAAGTGATGCAGATGAAGTTAAAACTCGTCATGTATTTGGAGCTCTTGACGTGAATCGGTCTTTGGATGATCAGACTTCTGACGCCGTTCCCGAATCTCCTGTAACAGCTCGTATACCTTCCCCATCATCTGCATCGAGTATCACATCCGGAAGGCGTTTGGAATGGGATAGCGGTGCAGATGTTGGATATTATTTTGAAGGAAACCATAACCTTCATTCCGGAGCTTCATTAAGCACTATTGAAAGAATAGCTTTAGCTCATGGACGTTCCAGTGGTCTTTTTGAGAGGTTAGATCCTGAAGGCATATGTGGACCACCAAAACCAGTGCTTGGTTTGCATCTCTTAAGTGATGAATTGGATTCACCAATTGCTAAATCAACTCCTGTCTATAAAAGTGGAAGCAAAAGGAAGGAAGAGAAAGAAAGTGCAGAAAAGGGATCTGTAGTGCCTTTAGTAGAACCACCTGAAACTGTGCTGCCTGGGGGATATCTTTATCTCCATTCACCTGAAGAATTTGGGAATGAAATGGCCCCATTGCCAAGAAATGGATCCGAAGGCCAAAATGATGATAGTACTGATGAAGACAAGATTCCTCTGTCAGATAATTTAAATAAAAAACATAGTAACTCCCTAGTCAATTTGAATTGTAGTTGTGATGAAGTACCAAGTTCAGTTCCTCGTAGCAAAAGCTACCTTAACCTTCTGGATAGTGATAATGTGAATGTACCAGCAGTGGAAAGAGCTGTGCCACCATCCCGTTTCCTGGCAGGTACATGCTCTGTATCATCTTCATCAGTTGCCACAATAGTGCAGAGACCGATTTTCCCAAAGACATGTGATAAATTTATTCAGACATTACCTCTGAAACTGTCAGTTGGTGTGCAAGTTAGTGAAAATACGGACCACTCACATTTTTCTGAAAAAAAATCAGAATTATCTTATGATGCAATTTCATCTTTGCCAAAAGAAAAAGATGAGACTAAGAAGGAAAAACAAAAAATCAGTAATGTTAGTAATGCGTCCCAAAACCACAAGTGTAAAGGAGCGCATAAGAAGGGGGCTTTAGATTATAATCATTGTCAAAATTACCAATTTCAGTCCTCAAATCCATCTGATAATAATAATAAAACTGAAAAGTCTTCAGAAGAAATCCATGTAACTAGAAAAGGAAGTTCACTTATGAAAGAATTTCAATCTTCAGAGAAAGGTATGTGTACTCAACTTCAGCTCCTCGGTGCATTATTGCTGTGTCAGATATTTTTCTTCCTGACATATATTAAACAATTGCAAGGTAAATTACATAGTATTGATAGTTTTTAATTAATGACACACTACTGCATGCTTATAATGTTACAACACTTACCTTTGTGATAATTTGGAAGAATGCAGTTGATATGCATGCAGAGTAAGCTTAATATCATTGCAGTTCAGAGCCATGTTGTGATCGTGTTCGCCATAACATATTGAATATTCCTTATTAAAATATAAGTACCTGACCAATGGGTTGTGCTTTCGAGCAGTCAAGTATTAGTATCTTTATACTTTGAAAAAAAAAAAAAAATTGATATTTTTTCTATTAAATATGCCAATATGACAGCAGCACATATAGATCTTTGTATCAAATATGCATACATACTATATGTGCTACAGTCCACAGGCATATGTATTAGTAAATAAAAAAAATTGAATTAGTAGTTTTTTTGACTACTAATTTGAATGTGAGATGTCTATTACATTATTGTTACAACAGAAGTTCTGTTTAGGTACCCTTGACAGTGCTGCCAGTAGTTCACAGACGGTTGAGTCATGTGTAGAAGAGACCTCGTGTTCTGGAATGGAGCAACCACGAAGAACTCATGTTGGCTCTTCAGGTGTTGCAGATAGCACAAATAGTTTTGAATATTTACCGGGACATGTGTTTGATAGAGCATCAAAACGTCCAAGTGATGCATCAAAATGGTCTGCAGCATCCACCACGTCAGCAAACAAAGTGACTTTGAAATCAAATGCTTTGAAGGAAGTGAATGGAAGAAGTGATTCACGTTCTAGCTCTCTCTCAAAGGACATTGAAGAAGGTGTGGAACTTCTTCAGAAACTGATGTCTGAAAAATCCTATAATGGGAAAACAAAAAAGAAATTAATTCGACTAATTGTGAACAAGTTAGTTGATACAGACTATCCAGAAGATCATAATGATAAACGGTTCCAGACAGATTCTCTTTCATGCAATGTTCCGTGGGTTCCTGCTTCTCAAAGTTCCCAACATTTGAAAGTACTTCAAGCATGTCAGTACTTGCATTCAGAAGAAAGGAAACCTAATCAGAACTTTTATACACCTTCTAGTAGTGAAAGCAGCAAAGATAGAACTGATAACAGTGGTAAGAATTAGAGTTGCAAACCAAAGATAAATGATAAAAACCTTTTATATAATTAATTTATTTATTAATAATTATTTATATTATTATTTAATTTATATTTATTAAAGATATTTAATAATTAATTTTTATGCCCTAGGTCTAATCTATCTTACTTTTTAAAAAATTTTGTCATTGTTGGAAATTTCGGGTTGAACTTTTAATTGAAATCCTTTTATATATTTTCTACTGTTAAACTATGAACTAAATTATTTTTTATCTTCGGTATATACAATTAGATTTCTAAATATTTTCCCTCTTAAATTTTACATTTTAACATGATATTTCTTTTGAACTGTGCAAGCTATGACTGAAATACAAACTTCTCCATCATCATGCACACCTTCTGGTAGTGTATCTGTGCCTGGTGACAATGAGCAAAGTCAAGGAGAAACCTCTGAAGTGTCCTCAAATATTTTTGACAGTTCGAGGAAACACTGGAAGTCACCAACATCTCAGACTGAGGAAGATTATGAAACCAACCGTAAGTTCAGCATATCTTTTTAAAAATAAAATAAATTGTTGATTTTTTTTAAAATGAAATAAAATGATAATTTCACAAAATATTTTTACTATAATTACAGTTATTTCTTTAATTATTTTTCGCCTTAAAATTCTTGGTCAATATGTATTCAAAAAATGCATTGACATTTATGATTACAGACATTAATAATTAAAATTAGATTTGAGTTTCATTGTGTTACCCCACATATTTAATTTATGTCGAAAGGAGGAGAAGAAGGAGCCCAATAACACAAAACTAATGAAATGGAGTTTGAAAAGAAGTATTAAGTATTGCAACATTTTTGAATTGATACAACTCAACTTATTATAATATTGACTGAAAAAAAATTAGTAATGGAGCTATCTTATGCATTTTAGTTTTGTTCATGTTAAAAAATAACAGAAAATAAACAATCAATGTTTCTTGTCTATTTTGACGAGGTATCTACTCTATGACAATTTGTTGGGGACAATTTGAGAAAATTAAGGGCCCCTGCATTGTATCTTATGTGAAACGTGACACAATTGCTTTAGCTTGTACACACAAGGTACAGTGTGACGTGCATCGACGCAATGCTTGTGTGACACAGGCCTCAGTTACTTTGAAAGACCTGATCTTAACCACATATTCACAACCCAATTTTGCACTATTGTTCAAAGGTCTTGGGCTTACAAATTATTATTTTACTACCTTATACCAATCTCAAAAACAAATTTCTCGCTGTATATACTTTGTTAATATTATCAATTTAAATTAATGTTTTATAAGTGATTGAATAGAATTCAAGTGTAATGTGAGCTATTCCTATTTATGATGAAAGTAAAAGAAATCTTCATAATTGTGAAAAGCTTAACTGTTTTAAAACTGTATCCACCTTTCAATATTCTGTTTTGTCAATAACAGAGACCTGTTAGCGATAAACAGAATGAAAGAATGTAAGTAATCCTGAATTTTCTTTATTCAATTAATAACCATTGTGTAAATGTCCTATTTCAAAATTATTTTCAGAGATACAATAGAAGAATTGTAAGAAATGTTTTTTCACAGGAATTATAATGGACTCTTTACTTTTAATAACTATTTTGTTCTGCAGTTGCTGTGACATTTGTTGTAGTACATGACTGCTAAAATGCAATATTCCTGACTATTTTGTTTTAATTTCAGGAGCAAAGTTTGTTAAAAACTCTAGTCCAACTCCTTCCTTGTTGCATTTATGTAAATCAGAACATGAGAAGCAACTCCAGTGGATTCGTTTTGAAATTGATCATCTGTCTCAGTTAAAACAGTTAAGTAAATTATGTTGCTGTCATTCTGAATTTTGGGGATAGTTGGGGAAGAAGTTCAGGGATACTGATGATATAAACTATCGAAACTAAGACTTACTGTACACTTTGTTGGCATTTTCTGAAATAAAGCAAATAGATAAAAGTAAACTTTAAGATAAAAAGGCAGATACTTCATTTTTTCCCCCTCCCCAATTAAATTAATGTCTGGTAATACTTTAAATTCAGAGAACTTCTTCTGTTTACAGATATTTGAAAGGAAAATATTCTACAATTTTGTCCGCATATTTGATGAAAATCAGTATATTCGACTAATTAATTTTTTGTAAAGTATTCTGAATGTAATGATCAAGTGCTAAGATTAGTATGTAATTACAGAGTTGTTAGTTTATTATTTATGCTCAAACTTTTGTCATATGTTTACAAATTGGGATGTTTAAAGTGATTTGAAATCTATTTGATTACACATACTTGGCCTTATCCAAGACCATATCTCTAGACCAAACTCACTTTATCACGTGTAGTTCATATACAAATTGTTTATAAACTTTTTTGTTGTTTATAAATTTATTAGTTTTATGTAAATTGTTTCTGGGTATAATGTTGTTTAGAGTATTCAAAACTCCTATAGTCCCAAACTACTTTTATTTCATCATCTTCGTGGTTTGCACTGTAAGCCTGGCATTGAAAGATTTTGCAATGTTGTTAGCAGATGATTCATTTGATTACACTTGTTTCATAGTCAGATAAATGTGAGCAGGAAAGTGCTAAGTAAAATTTCATTCATTTAATAGAAACAATTAAAACTTCTTTCCTGAATGCCTAATGAGGAAATTTTTAGTTTTTTAAACTGTAATAAAAGATTTTTAGACCAGATATTTAATCTAATATCTTTTATTTTTTTATTGAAGACATTTTTTGTAATGGACAGTATCTGCAGAAGTTTTTCATACATTATTATTAACTATTGGCAATTAATATTTTTCATATAAGACTACCAGTATTAATCTATTGATGTCTTGTGATGTCTATTCCACTAATGTTCTAATCTTATGATGTCTATCCCACTATTGTTAAAATACAAGCAATGTTCTTTCTTTCACGGGTGCTATGGTAATTAAGTAATTAATTTTCTGCTTCTGTTAGGTTGCTTGAGAAACAAGAAGGTTCTAAATCACATGCAAACCTTGCTGATCATGAACATAAATTCCACAAAATTAAATCTGCTAATAAGAATCACTCGCCTAGCAGAGAATTTCATAGGTAAGAATATATTTACTATTACACGATGTATTAAAATAATGCAATTATTGTGTTATAATACTATCAATTTTATTGATTATTTTTGTTATTGGAAGATGATATTGACTAGTTAACCGGTGTATTGTTTTCATCAATAAAAGAATAATTTCTTATGATCAAGGGAACTGAATCTTTCAGCTATTGAACTGGTATATGTATAACAGAAAATATCCAACTTATTTAATACTGTGCTATATTTACTCAAGTGTAATATGGAATAATCATTCAGAAACTGCAGTTCTTAAATGCTTCAAAATAAGAAAAAATATGGTTTAAACCAGATTTGTTCCATAAGAGGGATTCTTCTTTAATATATTTATGAATAATATATACCATAATAACGTGTAATATTTTTTTTTCTTTCATAGACCAAAGAGAAGTGGAAATGATGATTGGAGTAATAGTAGGCTAAAGGACAATTCTAGTCAAGGAAACACATCATTGCAAACATGTTCCTCCTCCACTCTGAGCTACCAAGACCCTTTGCCTCCCCACAGCTGCTACCATTCAAAGGGCCTTAGAGGGCAGAGCACACCTCAGGCTGAGGAGAGAAGTATGAGGAAGACTGATAAAAGAAAAGATTTGTCCACCCAGACATTATCTCTAGATTCATACATTCTCCAAAATGGTAGCTCTAATTCAGGCTTAAAAGGTATTAACAGTGATGATGGACAATTGAATGTGTATGTTCAAACATCTCCCAGGGCATTGGAAAGGCAGGAGAAAACCTTCCACAAGCTTCCAGCTGTTGCAAGAATTTCTGAAAGTGCGAGGAGGAGTTACGAAAGTGCAGTGAAATGTTGTTGCGACTGCAGAAAGGCTCTTGAAGGGTTAATGAAGAAAGATGATCGTGCTCAAACGTATTGTAGATGTGAATCCATGAGTTTCGAGAGTGATCATCTTGTGACAGATACCAGTTCTTCTTTGAGACAAACAGGTACTTCAACTGCATCTCATACCCCAGATGGAATATCTTTGCCTCAAGATGCAAAATTTCCACCTCAAAAACGAGATATTGCCACTGAAACCGTTGTAAATAAAACTGTACAGACCACACCGTCTTTAAATGACATTCCAATAATAAGGCCTATCTGGAGTCACGAAGTTTCCAAAGACTCCTCTCGGAAAGCTAGGGATAAGTTCTGCCCCTGTTGTGGGCTTCGTGAGAAGTCTTTTGAACCAAATGAAAGGATGCATGTCCAGGAAAAAACAAAGAAGAAAATGGAACCCAAAACTCCATTTGTGGATGAAAAAGGAAAGCATCACACAATCTGTGATGCATCAGTGCAAACTTCTAATAAAGAGCCCCTTGCGTATCTCCTAACATTTGAACCAACCTGCAAGGAAAACATAAGAACACAGAATAAAGACATGTTACCTGAAATCAAATTACTTGTGCCAGTCAATCAAAATAGGTTAGAAAATGAAATGAAAAGAAAGGCTTCTAATTTGAGTACTTCTAAAGAGAATCAGTGTCCTCTGAAGACTGGCCAGCCTAATGAAGAGAAATGTAGCTCGTCTGAAAAGGAAGAGGGAAAGACAACACAAAAAATCACTTTGCAGGTAGGCAATATAACATATACCATTAGGGTTATTTAATTACTCTCCAGTTCTAAAAAAGAATATCACACCTAGGTTTCTGTAATGAAATCCTTTTACATTGAAGCTTATAACCCATGTAAAAATTTTTCATAATGTTTCTTAATGATTTGAGGCAAAGAAATTTTCTGATAAAAACCTAGTTTAATTTAAAAAAGTATCATTATTTTTAATAATTACTGAAATGTTATTAGCTAGCAACAGCTGCTCTTCTACTAAGTAAAACTTGTTTTCTTTTCCAATAGAACTAAAGCCCAGTCTAACATCCATGTTACCACAATACTGAAAAAATATTTCACAGTAAACAAATTATTTAAATGAAAAATGAAATATACCAAATAATTGCTACCTTCTATCATGAAATACAAGAGTTTTATCTGATCGTGAAACATTAGTGGATTTCAAAATTAAATTGGAATCTATTTTAATGCTATACATATGCACTCCAGGAATAATATCAGTGTTTGATTAGATTAGATAGTAATGTAACATTGAATTACCCCGTGCAGTTAGTATTTCAGGAAATTACAGCTTAATACATTTACAGAAAGTTATAAATCGCTCTTCAGATTTAAGAATTTTCTCTCTGTGATTTCATATTACATATAATATATTTAGTATAAAATTATCTTGTGTATCAAATAATAAGTTCTCAGCTTTCAAAACTTATTTTATTTTCTCATGTGAAGCTAGCATTTCATCAAACATAGTGTACCTTTTCAGAGTTGAAATCACTCAGAAAGTTTTTCAAATTCTTAATAAATAAATATAAATATATTGAATGCAGGTATTATGTTCTTTTAAAAATATATTTTAACTTGAAAATTTGTTTATGTCAGGATATTTCCAATGTGTTTATCTAACCATAATGAATGCTGACATTCTTTTAAAAATAACTAAGTTGAAGATTCTAGTGAAGAATGCGGCTGATTTTGTATACTTTTAAAATGTTTTTAGGATTATCTTCGGGCAAATCGACCAGATTATATTCAACATGCTGACAAGAGAAGTCAGTGTTTGGCTGACTTGGCTCTTCTCAGAGACTTGAGGAAACAGAAGAGATTGGAACTTCTGGCCATGACTGACCAAGCTCAAAATGAAAATCCTAAAGATGTACATTCAAATGAAAGAATAGTCTTCTCATGTGCATCTGTACCTTGTATGCATTTTGAAGAAAACTTGTATTGTGTACACAATTGAAGGATTAGCTGGAAGGAAGGTGAAACTTGATACCACAGTTTTGTGTTATCAAGAAAATCTCTGTGTATCCAAATTCTCTTGCTGAATTAAAGCAGGAAAGATGTGTTGTTTCTTTCATTAAAAATTTATTATACTACATTATAGGATAATTTTTGCATTAAAAAACTGTGTGTACTGCATCATATAATAGTAAAACACCTTTACACAAGACATCTGGGGACAGACTCTTCATTGAACTTATGCATGGGAAATGGGCAATTCTATAATTTCGTATAGCTTGATCTAAGGCAATCTTTTGTTTTTATAGTTCTCAACTTGATGAATGGGTCAAAGTTTCTGTGATATTACTTTTTAGAGCCATCATAAATTGAACATTTGTGAAATTCTCAAAAAAATTTACCTCTAAACTGAGATGCAGTCATGTATTCTAATGGATTACTGTTTGTCACATAATCAGCACCAATATTGCCATGATGGTTAAAAACTTGGTACAAAGTTCACGATGCAATTAGAGGTTGAGCATCTTTCCCCCTTGTCAAATTCTCCACTGTTCACAGCCTGGTGGCCTGTGACTGCATGTCTTGTTCTTCCACTGAGAAACTGGCAGATGATTTTTCACCTCTCACAGATAAGTTGGGCTATTTATTTTTAGAGTGGCATTCCCATGGATGGGAATCCTGTCTCATAAAGCCTTTGTCATGGCTGCTAGAGAAATTAAAAAATCGATCACATGGTTTGCAGAATGGGGAAAACGTCTTTTTGACCCACTCTTACTCATGGGAGAAAAAATTCCCCTAGAAGCAGTATTCTTTATACTGTAAATGGAATGAATGTTTTGTATGTGGGAAGAACAAGTCGTTTAAATATTACACATAAGCAACACTCAGGGCAACCCATATTAGCTCATAAAATGGGTTTTTATTGAATTTTTTTGTTTCCTCCCCAAACACTAGAGAAATTTAGTATTGCTTCAGTAAAAAATTTCAGTTATACATAATTCATTATTGGTAAAGAATATTAAAATAAATTATTTCACATTGTTTATTTTCTGTTCTTTAAAGCTTACTATCTCCACTCTTTGGAGATACTGCGCCTTTATGTCCTCAAATGACATGGTTTATTATCATTTCACAAATTTCTTAAGCTTGTTCATCTTCGTGATAAATATAGATGTAAAACAATATTTTATTGCTTCTCCTAGATTATTTGTAAAAATATAAAAATCAAATTGTAAATTTTGCCAGAATATGGTATCTATATGTATTTTGCTTTCAAATAATGTAAACAATTTTTTTCATTTTCTATTTGGTCAGTTTCTTGCCTCTTAGTTTCTTTCACTTTAATTTGTTTCGTGTTAAATTAATGTCGTTTTCTTCCACAAGATGAACAATGCTTTTTGGTCAAAAAATGAAATATACAACGTGACAATCTTGTAGTTAACCCTACTGAGGTTAGAAAATGGGCATGACACAATTTTTTATATAAATGAAAGTATTTTTAAGAACGTTTCTTCTAGCTAATTCATCAATTTGAAATTCCTTGATATGTCTACTCTGTGATATGAAATAACACTTATTTTATTGTAGGTAAACCTAAACTCACATCTCGACTAATACGTGAACAATCGCGAAGGAAGTATCATAAAACCAGGGAAGTACAGAATAAATTTGTGGAAAAAAAGAAAAAAGAAGATTTTAAGACAAACCGCCTTATGGCTGAATTGTTTACCAAAGTAAGTGTCCATATTTTGGTTTCATGTTTTCATGGAAACTACTAAAATTTTGGCAAAAATTTGCATTTCAAATTAATTAATAGTATTTATGTATTCTTACTTTATTATGTGCAAAACTATTAACCAATAACAAATGTATTGAATATTCTGTATCAGAAAACAATGAGAGAGAGGAATAATTTCTATTTATTGTATTAGAAGTTTTCCTTTTTTTCATTCTTCTGAGCCTTTTTTCATAGAAATTTTACGCACACATAGCATTGGAAATTGACTTTTATCTAGTATGTCGATGGGCAAAGTCAGAGATAATTTTTTTTCAGTTAAGTTTCTGTCAGAATTAAATTTAGTTTTTTTAAATTGAAATAATAAATTTAGATTATATGACTTAAAACATTCTACAAATCTTGATTCTCAGCTTTTAGTCATGTGAATTTTTTAAATGTCTCTTTAAAAGATAATGAATAGTACATAATTAAAATACATTTCTTTTTCAGAAACTGCAGAAAAAAGTACTAAAGGGAGTAGTGAATCATTCCAATAGTGCAAGCATTATCTCCAGTGTTCCTTAAATGTGTTTCTAATACAATCCCTTCTTCAAAAGAAATAGGGCTTGTCAGTATTTTTTAAATATTTGTACATAATTTCGTCTTTAACTGTTCGTAATAAATATATATTTTAAGAAACTAGTTTTCATCTCTTTGTTTTTGATTACTTCCCTTCCTTCTGTGGTTGAAAACTTGATCATAGTTTTGTGATTAGTTCATTCAAGGTCCTTATTTCACATGTCGGATATAACTGAAGTTGTTGGTGTTTGTGTATGTGTATTTATTTTTTTCTTTCTTTCTGTTGGATAATGAGATAACATTGTCAACATAATTAACCATTCTTATAAGTTTACTTCTCTGCCATCTTCAGTCTCATTGAGGTGAGTTAGTCCATGTCCTGATGGGAGGATGCAGAGAAGGCTCTCATTTGTTCCTATCTCCGTCATTCATCTTCATGCTCTTTATTTCATGTTACCATTCTTTTTCACTCTTTATTTTCTTACTCACTGGCCTTCTCTATGCATAATGCAAATGGACTAATAAAGTCTAACACAGGTGTCCAGCTCCAAGAGGAAGGAGATTGGGAGAGAGATCACCACCCCATCTCAAATCCTCGCGTTCAATCTCCTCTTTTTCCCAAAAAATATAAGTTGTGAGTTTTAAAATATCTGCGTGTGGTAGTATGTGCCTAACTCTGCACTGCTTCACGTGTCAGAGGTTTGGCCCTCTGAAGGTATATGGCTGAAAGCCCTGTTTGTACAAAGTGTGTTTAATCCATAGACGATCAATAATCCTGTGCATCACCACTTCACTGTGTTAATTATGAAGGAGACCATGCGGCCAATTCTCACAGGTGCCCTACTTTTCTGAGGGATAGGGAGATTCAAAAGATCCGAGTGACGGAGAAAGGGTCATTTCCTGAGGCGTAACGTATCCTGTCGAAGAACCCAATAGATCTCGCTCGTTCATTCTCTAGTGCTACAGCCAAAAAGGTGAAAGAGGTAGAAACGGAAAAGAAAACCCCACTTAACGCCCCCTTAAACTCTTAACTACGGCTTCCTTATCCTGGAATCTTAATGGATTTTCCTTCGACAGGACGAACTAAAACTCTTGTCCCGTTATACGACTTCAATTTCTTGTTAACAGGAGACAACGTATTCCACTACGCCGTCGTCTTTATGTGGATTTACCCCATTTATGGTTGATGTCGATGACGGCCGCCTTGCTCGTAGGGGAGTTACTACTTTGGTTCGCGACTCGTTGCATTTTGGAGAGGTTCGTATTCAGACTGACATTTAGTATGTGTGCGTGCTGGTGTACCATCCTTCACACGCTATGTAACATCTATATACCCCAGAACAAATGGTGTCAATCGATGACTTCCTAGACCTAAAGCAACTGCCCGCACCATTCTTGAGGGTAGGCGATGTAAAAGCTCACGGCCCTATTTGTGATTCTTCCCGTACTTGTCAAAGTGCTGCCGTTTTGGAATCTATCGTCGACACCAAAATCTGGCGGTTCTGTATATTAGCGAACCAATCGCCACCCGCATATCGCCAGACCTCCGAATTCGAGTATGGCTATAGACGTAGCCCTTTGCAGACCTTCACTCGCTACTGTTATGCAGAGGACCATATTAGAAGATCTGTATGGAAGTGACCACTTCTCCACTCTGCCTTTTTCCTTCTCCGCCAATCACGGGTCACCCGCCTTCCTCCTATTGGTCGCCGATGCGTCCAGTCGGCCTACGCGCCCTTCCTATAAAAATGAGACACACCAACTTGGCAGCACAATCGGCCGAGACGCAGCTCATCCCGGATATCCAAGAATGCCTGTACTCTGTTTCTATCGCAATTCCAAAATCAACCGGTAAACCGCTACACCCTTTTGTCCCATGGTGGAATCTGATCTATAGCGATCAACATCGGATACAAAGGATGCAGGACGAGGGGGAGGAGAACAATATTAGCAAAAGTGCATTGTGGAGAACATAGGTCTCTCTCAGTTGTCACTTGCCACCACGTCTCGTGTTGAGAAGAATTGGTCAGATAAAGGGACACTTCGCCAAATACAGTGCTAGGTGTTAATGGAGAGATGATCTCTTCTCGAAATGTTATTGTAGAAGAACTCGCACTAAGAACACACGCCAAGTTCGGCGAACAACGCTCCAGACTTTCATTTCATTCGTTCACTGGAATTTTCTTGCAGAGCGTCTGACGATTACAGCACTCCTTTCCCTACGTCGGGATTGCGCTCTGATCTCGCGTTAGCGATAAGAACTGCCCGAATACTGCTCTTTTCTACATGGATGAAGTTTCCAGTGCTCTCGTTTGTGCAAAAGACTCAACTCCAGGACCAGACCAGATACATAATCAAATGCCTAAACACCTGTCGGAAAATGCTCGTTCTTTTCTCCTCCGCATTTTCAACTTGATTAGGGATGAACATTCCTTATTAAGGATTTGGCGTGAAGCCTTGGTATTCCAATCCCTAAAGAAGGGAAGGACAGAACAATCCCTTCAAGTTACTTCCCAATCTCGCTCACAAGCTGTGTGCACAAGCTTCAGCGCGAATGATAAACAAACGTCTGGTCTGGCTCCTGAAGCAAAGGAATCTATTTACATCTTTTCAGTGTGGTGTCGGGAAGCACCCGTCAATCATGGACTACTTAGTCTCCCTAGCCACTCAGATCTCCACGTCTACTACTTCACGCTACGACAACACCTGATAGAAATTTTTTCTACATAGAGAAAGTGTATGACACCACCTGGAGGTACGGTATTCTTCGGACCTCAGGAAACGGCTCCCTTCGTTTCTAGTATATTTTCTTTCATCAAGATCTTTCCCCGTCCGCCTGATGACACATGTGATGACTCACGTCACCAGTTTAGACCCCCTTACCAGTTAGAGAACGGTATTCCCCAGGGATCAATTCTGAGTATCACTGTGTTTGCCATTGCTATCAATAGTATCGCATCAGTAACTCGAGTGCCTGTGAAAGCACCTCTCTTCGCTGATGACTTTGTCATATTCTTCTCCTCGAAGAGCATGAGAGGTATGTACAGCTTGTCCTCAATAAATTGCAAGAATGGAGCGATAAAACTGGATTCAATTTTCCATTTCAAAATCCAGTTGCAAGCACTTCTGTAGAATATATCACCTCCACAATCATCCTGCACTTTTGTTCTGCCACTTTCCTTGTCCTGACATTCGATAAGAGTTCTGACGTCGAATCTGTTACTTTCTTTGGCCTGACATTCAACAAGAGTTTAACATAGCGAAAGCACATTCAAAACTAGAAGAGCCGCTGTGTATGATAATTGAATCTCCTTCGCACCCTTACTGGTAGATTATGGGGCGCAGACCGAGTATGTCATTTGCGCTTATATAGGACTATCTTCCGTCATATCTTAGATTTAGATTATGGGTATATTGTTTATGGGTCACCGTTTTCACCGACCCTCCGGTATACGGATCAGTACAGACGTCTACCGCACGAGTCTCATCACGAGATATTGTAATCGGCTCCTATGGTGCGAAAGTATCAGCTATAAATACTCCTTCGCGGCAAGCAGTCCTTCGCCCTAGTCACAGGACATCGTACGAACTCAGACCATCGTTACCCCATCGTCCAGGTATCCGTCTCTACACGCTCTTGCAGATACTCGATATACAACTCGCCATACCTGTGAACCCCCGTCCGAAAACTTGTTCCCCCCTGGAAGATTCTGTGGTTTAAAATAGACTTGAAATTATCACACTTCCCCAAATCTTCAACTCCCCTCAGTACATTTCTGGCGGAATTCACGGAGAATCCATGTGTCCCGGCGATATATTCATGTCCACTGATGATTCCACCCAGAATGGTAATATAGGATGTGCCACATACTGCCACAGTGCCATGCAGTGTCTTCGATTAGATTCTTCGTGCAGCTCTTATACTGCAGAAAACTATGCGCTCTTGGAGGCCCTTAAGTTCGCTGAATCGATAACATTAAAAGAAGCTGTGATCTGCAGTGATTCAAAAAGCTCGCTCGAATTTACCTCCTTCTTCCCTTCTTGTGACACACTGACAATAATCATCCAACACCAAATTAATAATTTACTGGTTCGTCTTTATGATTTTTTTTTTGTCAGATCCCTTGTCACGTTGGGATAATAGGGAACGAAATTTGCTGACCAAACAGCAAAACTCGCCACAAAGAAAACTGAGGAAGACATCCTCACAGTCCCAACAAACGATACCAAGCTGTTTATTAAACGTATTCTCAGTGCATGGTAAACAGAGTGGCTGAACTCAGATTTAAAAAAAAGCGGATTCCATAAAACTTTGGTCTTCATCTCGTGGATCAAGGTGTAAAGAGATATTTCTGACCCGCCTTCGGATCAGTCACTCTCATTTCTCCCACGGACATCTGCACGGTGTCCCATCCCATAGTTGCGAGAAATCTTACCGTGAAGCATGTTCTCCTGCACTGTTCTAAGGTAAGAGGTAGCCGCCGAAGGCAAGATCTTTAGCTTTTTACTAGAGACATTGACAGCATTATCTGCGAGAAGATGATTATGCCAATTATTTGGCTTATAATTGGAGATTTTTAGTGTTCATCTGCCTCTTTTCTGTCAATCCCTTTTTTTAAATAATTGAATTCGTTTATTTTCAGTTTTACTTACATTGCATTTATTACATTACCTTGCATTAAAAATATTTTAGTTTGGCACTGCTACAGTGCGTATTGCTCTTAAAAAATTGACACGGGCGCCCATGTCCTTAGAGGTTGAAGCGCCCTAGAACCTTAATCATCATCTTCATCATCGTTGTCACCATCAAGCGCGTAACTTTCGATTCATACAGTACAGCAGAAAAACTACACATTTGACATCACTGTTGCCATTACAGCCCGTTCTTCATTCTTGACCTCGTAGGCGCCATAGTTATCTGGTTCAGATTGGTCGACTGGTTTCTTATTGTTGACTCATTTAATACAGGCAGCTGTTTGTTTGCCTCGATACGTGATAGTTCTGTTTAGAGACCACTTTCGGGCAATCATTTTCTATGATTTTGTCTATGAAGTTGGTCTAAGTGTTAAAGAATCACTTGAACGGTTGAGAAGTGCATTCGGTGCTTTTTCTCAGTCAAAATAG